AAAAAAAAAAAACGAAATGCAATAAAACCAAATGTAACGTAATAAAAACATGGTGCAATCCAGCTGGTTTTACTACTTTTCAACGAATCCAAACGTTCTATTTAATTGTGGAGCAGTTTAGTTAAATTAAAAACGACACTTCCAGCTTTCGTTTTCTATATAGACTTTCACATTTTTCTCCGACTCTAAAAAAAAAAAAAAAAACCTTCTTCTTCTTCTTCTTCTTGTTATTTCTTTCCAAAAAAAAAAAAAAAAAGTTTTTTTGCAATTTTACGACGAAAAATAAAATAAATTATTATTATTATTATTATTCGATACTTTTTTAAAGAAAGAATAAGGGAAAAAAACTTTTTCGCAAAATTCTTTTGTTTTAAAATTTAAAATTTAAAATTAAAAAAAAAATTTTTTTTTTTTTTAAGAATAAGAAGGCGGTGTGATTTTATTATTATTATTATTATTATTATTTTTATTTATTTACGTTATGACGAAGAATTCGATTAATAAAAAATTATTATTATTATTATTATTTTTTGTTAAAAAAGTCGTTCGGTGAGTAGTTTCCGAAAATATTTATGACTTTTATTGTGTTTAATCATTTTCTATTTATATTCAAATTAAATAGAAAGATAAAAAAAAAATATTATTATTATTATTCTATTAAAAATAAGTAAGTTTTTCATTTGACTAAATAAATAAATAAAAACCCTTTCCCGTTTTTGTAAAATCAATTATAATGAAAAACGCGACAAAAAAAAATACAAAAGAAGAAATAAATAAAAAATTATTGAAATTATATTCGGATTCATTAGATTCGGATCGATACGTATTGGATTTTGATAAAAAATATGATTTTTTTACCAACGATGAAACTCTCATATTAAAATTTTCATCTAATTGGTTTTCGCCGGAAAAATATAGTTTTTACCTGACATCTTCGAATTCTATAAAAACCTTGTCGAAAAATGGTAGCGACCACGAAGATGATACGAAAACCAAATATGAATCTTTACCCGTTATCGATAAATCTCTCGCAACAAACAATTGTTTGTCCAGAGACCTTGAAATACTCGGAAGGACACCTTATCAAATAGGAGTCGAAGGAGAAAAGTTTAGAGTTGTTGCTGCCACTCTACAAAAATGTAATTCTCCCTTCGTTCAAAGAACTTTTCATTTTACTGCCAACGGGATAGTCGAAGCATTAAATAAAAAATCATCCGACGCTGGAGAATCGGGTACCATCATACCCATTTTGAAAAGATCCGTCAACAGGAGCACGACTCATCAAAAAGTTTTAAGAATCAGAAGATTTCGGGTAATTAAAAAAGAAGATTTAATTTTAGACAAATGCACATTGCCTAAAAAAATCAAAATTGCCAATGGTGAAAAAACTACAAGATTTCTAACCGTGAGAATCCGTTCGAAAAATTTAAATTCAGAAAATGGTTTCCCGTTGGTTCAATCTGAGGGTTCGACATCTCTCGGACGAGAAGAAACAGTCGAAACGGTATCGAGCACCACGACCACGACAACGATCACGACAGAAAATATTAACGAATCCGAACAAAGAGAAAATGATAAAAAAACCGTTACGGATTCAGATTTGAAAAACGATGATGCGGATGCTGCAACAACGGAAGAAAATTGTAAAGAAAAAACAGAGGATGCGATCCCGATTAAATTAGAGGAAATTGAACGGGAAACTGCGGTCAAAGAAACGTTCACATGTGAAAACTGTGGAAAACAATTTTCTACGTATTTGCATTGTTTAACGCACATACGATCTCATCAAAAACAATCCTGTCAATTTTGTTCGAAACGTTTTCTCACGGCTAAAATACTAAGAGATCATATAAAAATACAGCATCCGGAAGAATCGACTCGTTGTAACGTACCAGAAGATCGAATAACAACGGCAACGTCTAAATTTGGGAGAACACGACAAGTTTTAAACATAGCCGGATTGAGAAGTAAATACAGAATGTTGTAAAATGGATGATTATGTTTGAAAACATAATGAAAAGGTCAATAAAAACATAAAGAAAAAAATGTTGGAAAATTCAAAATAGTATCAAGTTTGCATAATTTTTAATTTCAGTAAAATATATATTTATGTATGTGTTGGCAGTGTGCTGTTGGTGCCCCAACATGATGCTGTTGGTGCCCCCAACCCGGTGGTGTTCACCACGTTCGATATTTTTTCTTGTTCTTTTTTTTGTCAAATGTGTGCAAAAATAATATTTATCATTAAGTCCGATTTAAAGAAAAACTAATTGTGTTAACTTAATAATTTTCTCAGTATTATTTACTACAATATGTATATATTTGCCTGCGTGTGTGCGTGTGCGTGCGCGTGCGTGCGTGTTTAAAATTTTAATTATGGTTTTTTAATTAGTGAGAATAAATGACACTATTTAACAATATTCACCATTTTTTTTTTTTTTTGTACTGTGATCAATTTGATTTAATTACGTTTTTTAATTTTACGGTGACGGTAAAACTTTCTAAAAAAAAAAAAAACTAAAGAATTTTTTTTTTTTTTAACGAGGTTTGGTTAAATTAAAAAAAAAAAATTATAAATTAATAATAATAATGATAATAATTAAAAAAAAAAAATTTGTCAAATTTTAATTACGTCTTTTTTTTTCTTTTTCAATTAATTGTATTATTCGAATGAATTGATTATTATTAAAAATATTATTATATATGAAGGTAAAAAGAAAAATCGGTCGGAGCATTAAAACATTAAAAAGTTTTTTTTTTTTTTTTGATGACATAAAATTTTGTTTGCCATTACATTAAAACAAACGACAACCGATTAATTGGTTGCCCTTGAATCGGCTCTTTTGATGTTTATGAGTACTTTTCAATCATGTCAGCGGATTGCCGGAGGGTTCTTTGCTCTTCTCTTTGTAATAATCATTTCATTTAATCATGTTAAAAGGAGGATATTTAGTATACAAACATCCTAAAACTAAATTTTCTCTCTCTCTCTCTCTCTCTCTCTATCTCTTTCTCTCTTTTTCGTTCCGTTCGTATTCTCCATCGTCCATCGTCATTAATTCAACAACGAATTGCATAAAATCATTAAAGAGATAATGAAAGGCTATCCTATAGATACTAAAAAAAATTTTTTTTTTTTTACCTAAAATAAAATGCGGGGTCAGAGTAATTGAGGGTATTTAAAACTAAAAAAAAAATTAAGGGCAAAGAAAGAAAGGTTTTTTTCAGTAACTGGGGAACCGCGCTTGTGGACGTGGGGAGGGGGGGGAAGAGGGAGGGACGCCTTTCATTTTTCAACGAAACTCCTTGATAAAAAAAAAAAAATTAATAATGATAATAAATAATGTTGTTTATATTTTTGAATGTGTATTTAATAAAACGAGCCTAATAATAATAATAATAATGTTTTTTTTTTTATTAAAAAAAGAAACGTTTAAAAAAAGGTAAAAACTTTAAATTGGGGGATAATGAGGGAGGGAGAAGGGTAGGGGAGGGGGGCAATCGTAAAAATTAAAACGATAAACAGGAAAAAAAAAAAAATAGAGGTTATCATTAGGAAACGGATATTAATGTAATCGTTTGTTGTTGTTGTTGTCGTTGTTATCATCATCATGTTTAAAACAAAGTTAAATAAATAATAGCAAAACAATTAAATTAATGTTGTTTTTTTTTTTTGTAGTTTTTAAAAACTTGTTTAAAAAAAAAAAAAAAACAGAATACTCTTTTATGGTGTAACTTTTTATAACTTTTATTGGTTTTTATTTATTTATTTATTTGTTACAACGACAATTTAATATGTTTTCAATTATTAAATAATTTAATAATTTTACAATCGCCTCGTCGTTGCCTTTTTTTTTTTTTATTACGTATTCTCAGACGGAGAAAAAAAAAATTTTTTTTGTTTTTTAATATAAAACCAGATGTTATTAAATACAAATGTGAAACATCATAATTCAATAACTTTTGCCAAAAATTTGTCTTGTTAAAAAATTTTTTTTATTTGTCTCTTTTTTTTGGTTGACATTTTCAATTGTGAGTCAAGAATAAAAAAATTTATATTTATATTTATATATCTGGATTATTTTGAAAGGATTTATAAAATATGAGATTTATACTCTTTGTTTAAATATAAAGTATTCGTGTTCTCTCTCTCTCTCTCTCTCTCTCTCTCTCTCTCTCTCTCTTTCATTTACCTAACGAAATTAAAAAAATTTTTTTTTACGTAAATGCGTTGTTATTATTATTATTATTTACTTGAGTCACAGGTACGAGGATTTGCGTCGGAATTTTATCCTTATATTTGATTGAATTCTTTTTAGAAATGGTCTTATCAAATTCATTTCAAGTTCTTATCAGTAATCGATAGCTGGTATAGAATCAAGGGTGATATCCAAAAAAAAAACTTTTTTTTACAAATTTCCAAACTAGTAGTTGCTGATAGTTTGATTGATTTAATTATTATTATTATTATTGTTATTGACCGTTATTGGAATTCAGTTAATTTACTGATAATGATGATGATGATAATGTGAATGGATTGTTTTATTTATTTTCATATCATTTGGTATTTTCAAATCGTGTGATATAAACAGGTTTCTTTTTTCTTCCTCCCCTCTGAAAATTTTTCTGAATATGTCACCTTTGCTGCTTTGTCCACATGATGATGATGATGATATTTTCATTGCTTTCTTATCGAAATCCCGTTTTTCTTCTCTTGTTTTTTCACAATACAAAGCATAATTCCTATTATAGTAATCAATATTTTTTTTTTTTTTACAAGCTTCTGTGTTTAACCAGACAGCTTGACTTCATAGAGATGCTTTAAACCAAGGTCAACTAGATATTCATCTCCTCCTTCTGAATAATTGCATTCTAGAATTAATTTTAAAAAAAAAAATCCCTTTTAGTTTATATTTTAAATGATTTTTTTCGCACTCCTTTCGTCAATGTATATCACGATTATTATTATTAGTAGTAGTAATAAATAAAAATTCATTGGAAAATCGATGGATACTAAAATTTTTCTTTTTTTATTTACAAACAAAGTAAAAGGGAAAAAAAATCTGGAATGAAATTAAGAATTTGAATGATTTCGGTTTTTGACACCCTATTTGCCATTCGTGCGTGACAAAAAATTAAATTTTACCGGAGGATTTTTTTGTTTTTCCCTTCCATAATCTCCTTCGTAATGAGGGGAGGGGGGGCAGGAGCAGCAGCAACAGTAGGAGTAGTTTAAGGTAGTTTTAATAAAACGTTTATCTTATTCGTATTCACCTTGACTTGAAATTCTCGCAATTTCAATTTATTAATTATTACTTTTTAGAATTTACGTATGAAAAATTTTTTTTGTTTTAAAATTAGTCTTCCGCGTTGTGCCTTATCACCACTTTGTTTAACTCTTTCCTATTTCCGATTCGTAAATTATTATTTGTTTTAAATAAACGCTCCTTTTAAATCATTTATCCGCATCTCAAAACAAAAAAATTACAATGAACGTAAACTGCGTAAATTTTCGATAGAAAATTATTATTGGGTTGGCAAATAAGTAACTGCGGATTTTACCAACAGATAGTTTGTTATTTTTTTTGAGTACGTTTACGTTTTTGTACAGACATGAACTTTTGATATGTTATTACTTGGTTCCTTCTGTAACATTCGGTACCAAAATTTCATTGAACTCTTAAATAGTACGCGAGCAAAAGATAATTAAACATGGGGAGCCAGAGCGAGCATTTCCTCCACATTTTACTTTTTTATTTTTGAAAGAGTGTTAATGCTTCCCAGGCCAATAAAAAGTTGTGGGCTGTGTAGGGGAATGAAGCCTTAATAGAACGGCAGTGTCAAAACTGGTTTGCGAAATTCCGTTCTGGAGATTTTTCTTTGCAAAATGAGGAGTGCTCCGGGCGCCAATTGGAGGTTAAAGATGAGCAAATAAAGGCCCTCATTGATTATGATCGGCATAGTTTGACTAAGTACATTGTAAAAAAGCTAGATAAGTCACATATGTGCGTCAAAAACCGTCTGCGGCATCTTGGGTGCCATAAGAAGCTTGATGCGTTACTTTGGGGAACGTTAGTTAACGAGGCGACTCTGTCTTTGCGATATGCTTCTTAAACGCAATGCAAATGATTCTTTTTTGAAAGAATGGTCACCGGAGATGAAAAGTGGGTTGTCTATGATGACTTTTTGAGAAAAAGATCCTGGTTTATGCAAGGAAACAGGCACCAACAACTTCTAAGGCTGACATTCACCAAAAAAAGGTATTGTTATCATTTTGGTGGGATTACAAAGGCATAGTCAACTTTGAGCTGCTGCCACGATGTCAGACCATAAATTCAGAGGTTTACATTCGACAATTGACAAATTTAAATGATACCATCCAAGAAAAACGACCGGAACTAGCCAATAGCAAAGGAATTGTCTTTCACCACCATAATGCCAGGCCCTCCCCATCTTTAGCCACTGGACAAAAACTACTGGAGCTAGGCTGGAATGTTTTGCTGCACCCTCCATATAGTCCCAAACTAGCTCCAAATAATTATCATTTTTTCCGATTCCTAAAAAATTTTTTAAACGGACAAAAATTCCAAAACGACAATGAGGTCAAAACTGCATTGGAGCAGTTTTTTGCTCCTAAAACTAAAGAGTTGTATAAAAAAAGGAAAATGATACTACCCGAAAAATGGCAAAAGGTCATTGATAATAATGGACATTATATAGTAGATAAAAATAATTTGACATAATTAATAAATCGTTTTTTGTTTTCTTAAAAAATTCGTAATTATTTATTTGCCAACCCAATATAATGGAAACAACGTACGTGTGACACTCGAAATTATTTTAATAATATTTAATAGAATGATTTTTAGTCTTCTAATTCTATTGTAATTATTTATTTATTTATTTATTAAATTAAAATTCTTTTGTTAGTATTTTTATTATTATTATTATTATTCTACATTTAAATTAATGTTGAAAAAAAAAATAATAATTTTTTTTTTTTTAAAAGAAAAGTTTTACATAAGCTAAATAAGTAATTAATAAATTTAAAAAACTATTTTTTCATTGGTCGAAAGTACGTGTGAGCATGCGCAAAAGAGAATCTATTGTTTTCCACTTAAAATTTGATTGGGTATTTTTCATTTTTAACATTTTTTTTGTTTTTTTTTTTTAAATTTATTATTTTTTTTTGCACTAAATTGTTTTTTTTTTTTTATATATATATAATTTTCATTTGTTTTTTTTTCTTCCTTTTTTTCCTTTTATTCTTTTCCTTTTTTGGGTTATTTTTTTTTTTTGTATTTAAAACGCGGGAAAAACTTTTTTATTTGTAAATGAAAAAAAATAAATAAATTTATAATTTAACGACGTCCGTTTTTTTTTTTTTTTTTTTTTTTTTTTTGTCACATACAAAATAATTATTTAAACACGTAACATTTTAATAATAATAATAATGATAATGCATCCAACCGAACAACGAAAAATTTATTAACTCGATTTGTTTTTTATATCGAAAATTATTTATTAATTTTTTCAGGAACTCCAATTAATCGACTGCCTATAATGGCGAAATCCGTATTAGATCTCTACGAATTGTATAATCTGGTCATTGCTAGGGGAGGATTAGTTGATGTAATTAATAAAAAACTTTGGCAGGAAATAATTAAAGGTTTGCATTTGCCTTCGAGCATAACATCGGCGGCATTCACACTAAGAACTCAGTAAGTTTCTATTATTATTATTATTATATCATTTTGTATAAAAACAGAAATATTTTTTTTTATGAATTTAAGTCTTATTTTTTATAAAAATACAATACTCATTTTCTTTTTTTTTATGCTACACATATTTGTATGAAATTATTATTAAAAATTTTTTGCAAATAAGTTATTATTATTATTATATATATGGTGAAAGTAGAAGGTAATTTTTTTTTTTTTTTTTTTTTTTTTGGATCATTAAGGTCAGAAAAGAAAAAAATAAAAAATATTATTTTGTAATGCGTAAAATAATTAATTAATTTAAATTTTTTGTCGAATTCAGATACATGAAGTACCTGTACCCATACGAGTGCGAAAAAAGAAGACTCAGCACTCCTTCCGAACTTCAGGCTGCAATTGATGGTAATAGGAGAGAAGGACGAAGAAGTAGCTACGGGACATATCCAGAACTGATGCAAAGATCCCCTGGTCCAAATCATCCATCTCAAATGACGTCCATCACTCTTGCTAATCAAATGAGGCCTCAAATAAATGGCAACGGTCATTTACATCATCCCGTACTTCATCCAACGTTAGGCCAACCACCGCTACCGGGTAAAAAAAAAAAAAATTTTTTTTTCTCTCTCTCTCTTATTTCTTTAAACTACGGCAATCAAATACATTTTAAATTTTTAATCAATAAACTTGGGATATTAATGAACTTTAAAAGCTCTCTCTCTCTCTCTCTTTTTCTGTCAGTCAGACATTCAGCCTCCCTTAGAGAGAAGATGAACGATGTTAAGGCGAGAAAAACATTATTAGACCTCAAAACTAATGATCTTTCATTGATTGATAGGAGGAAGATGCGGTTCTGATATTTGTTTTCCATTTTTTTTTTTTTTTTTTTCCTTCAATTCTTTTTCACTTTTATTTAATTTTCCTTTTAAAACTTTTATTAATTCTTAACATTTTTGTAAAAAAAAAAATAATAATAATTATGGGAAGAGAATAAATAAATAAATATATAAATAATTTCGGGTTGAATGCAGCTGCAAAAATCAAATTTCTATTTTTATAAAATTCATTGAATGAAAATTACTCACAAAGCGTACGACGCGTTGGGGGGGAGAGGAGAAAGGGGGGAGAGAAATTTGTAATAATTTTTCAATAACAAACTAAAACTAATTTATTAAAAAAGAAATAAATGCAATCATTTTATTAATTTTTTTCTAAGAGTTACACACATGTTTTTATGTTTTTTTAAAACATTATTATTATTATTGTTTTATTTTATTATTCGAACATGACATTAACGTCGGGATTTATTAAACGCAAAAAAAAAAAAAAATGGCGGTTTATAAAAAAAAATTTTTTTTTTTTTAAATGTTGACGACCGTGTGATTCACATAATCCAATATATATATATATATATATATATATATATATATATATATATATATATATATATATATATATATATATATATATATATTTTTTTTTTTTGTTTTCTCCTCCCGTAAACTTTTTGAATTTTTCTAGAACTTTTCTGTCTGCGCAAACGACGATTGTCGGCCTTGATTTTTTTGTCACATATTACAAACGTGAATTGATTTTAAACAATGTTACATAAAAACAAAAAGAAATATTTAAATTTATTTGTTTTTTTTTTTGATCACATAACAATTATTAGTTCGTGCATATTCATTATTATTATCATCATCACTACCGGTCTTAAGTATATATAGGAGAGAGAGAGAGAGAGAGAGAAAGAAAAACGAGGGTTTTGTAGTAAAAAAAAAAAAAGCAAAGTTAAGCGTTGAAAAATGATGTTTAATTCTTTAAGGGTGCCAACCCGCTGACAACCTCTTTGTAATTGATGACTCAACAAACGACAAGGAAGAATATTAACATCATTGATTGGCATTTTACCGCTTTTCCATGTCATGTCGTCCCTTTGCAAAACCTTTTCTGCAATTTTCTCTCTTTTCCTTTTTTCATTAAAATCAAAAAAAGAAAAAAAAAAATTTTTTAAATGATCATTAATTATATTATTTATTTAAATTAAGGGAAATTTTTTTTCAATTGTTTTAGTAATATTACAAACTGATGATTTATTATTATTATTATTATTTCTCCAGCGGGTCCCATTCCAGGATTGGCACCATCGGAATTCGAAGCGAGAATGGTAGAATATGTGAAACTTTTAAACAAAGAACTTAGGACTTCGACAACGACCCCACCAGCACTACGGTCAGGTTCAAATTCACCACCTTCGTCTACTTCTCCTAGGGAAGCTTTAAGTGCAATCGAAATGTCTAGGCTCACCCTTTGGAATTTATACAATAATAATCATCAAACTTCTTCTACTACTCCGGAACCGCAAAAAGAAGCACTGGATTTGGGTGTCAAAGAACAACAGCAAACACAAAGACAAGTAATCAATAATTTTGAGTGATTTCATTTGTTATTTGTTCCTGCCAGTGAGTGACAGGAAAACATAATAATTTCCTTTTTTATTTCTCAGTCATCATCTCCGCAAGTAAAAAGAGAATCTCAGGAAACCATTAGTAATGGACCTCCACCAAAGAAACTTCTTCCGGGTGAAGGGGAAGAAGAAGACGATGAAGAAGAAGAGGAAGAAGATGAAGAAGAAGAAAACAGAAATTTAAAACTTGACGGAAAGGCGCACATAAAAATATCAAGCAAAGGAAATGGAAAAGATCAAGAAAGTTCGTTAGTTGTAAGCATGGACATCAATGGAACCATGTACCAGGGAGTTTTATTTGCCCAAAATACTACAAGAACCAGAACGTCGTAGAAAAAAAAAATTTAATAATTATAATAATAATAATAATAATATATGATGCTATCATTTATATTTAAAAAAAATGCATTTGTGACAAAAAAATTTTATATACATAAATAAACGTTAAGTTAATAAAATAGTTTCGGTGGTACAAAATATAATTGCTTATAAAATATTTACGCGTTGGCGGCATAATGTTTCAAAACATTGTTTCAAAACAATTATAATTAGGCTTAGAATCTTTTGGTTTTTTAGAAACAATAGCATCTCGATAAATAAAAATGGAGGACTTTTCTTGTTGAAAATTTTCTTTTTTTTTGTTTGGTAAGTTCCTAAGTTGGTGTCGTTGACGGTTTTATTTAAAAAAAAAAAAAAAAAAAGATTTTACTCTTTCTTTTTTTTTTTTTTTGGACTCTCGACAAATTTTTATTTAATTAAATATATATAATTTATATACGATGTATATTTATTGTCAGTGGCAAATTAATAAAAAAATAAAAAAAAACATTTTTTAATAATCGTTTGCAATAGTAATAATAATAATAATATTAATTATAATATATATACATAAAAAGGAAAATTTATACTTAATTTAATGTATTTTTTATCCGATTTGTAATTCTTAAAGAATAAAATTAAATTATTTTTATTTTTATTATTGTTGTTAATGGGTAGTTAAAGCGATCGCCTCATATGATTTCATACCCTTTTTTTTTTTTTAATTTTTTTTTTATTTTTGCCCGAAATAAAATTTTTTTTTTTTCATTCGGTTATTATTATTATTATTTTTTTTTCATTCGGTTTTAAAAATACATTTTTTTTTAAAAAAAAAAAAAAAAAAAAAAAATGAATTGACTCTCTCTTGAATATAATACGAAAAATTTAAATTAATATTTCCTTATAATAAAATTAAATTTAATTAAGGAATAACTAAAAAAAAAAAGGAAATTATTTGTATTATTTTAATTTTTTTTTTTTCTGTTTTCAATCAATAATTGTACAAAGTAAAATTTACCAAAACTTTTTAATTTACGATAAATATGTAATTATACTGTTTAATTGTAATAAAAATAATTTCAATATTTAAAAATAATTTTTCTTTCGAATTCCAGACATAACCGACATTTTTTTTTTTTAATCTATCGTTTCGAGGGGATTTTTTAATTAGATTTAAAATTTAACGTATTTAGAATTAAAGAAAAAAAAAAATTTATAATAGATAATTATTAATGAAAAGACATGTTTGAAAATTAAATCAATTTAAATAATATTTTCCTTAATTCCTTGAATTCCTTAATTCAGTTGTACAAGCTCCAAACCGATTTATTTGATTTTCAAAATGGCACAAATATTTTTTTACTAAGCTTCCTAAAACCTGAAAAATTTTTAATTGCTATTTTAGAAAACATTGTATTATCTGATGATGGATTATTTAAAAAAAAAAAAGTGATGTAAAGTGTTGTTCTCACGTTTTCTTTTCTTTTCTTTTGTAATATGTATAATTTGTTTAATTTAATAATCTTATCTATTTATTTTTTTATTAACTGAATGCAAATTAAAATTACTTTACGAAAACTTGGCATTGTCTTTTTACTTATCACCCACTCGGGCATGCAAGCACAAATATCTAAAAACAAAAATTAAATTTATTCATTACAAAATTATAAATATTCTTAATTTATAAGTAAATACTTGTAATTACAGTCTGGCGCCACTAATAATAATAATAATAATAACCAAGGTGGTGCCTTGTAACTGAATTTAATTTCTATAAAATATGACATACATTTTAATACATATTTTTTATGTTGAGAAAGAAAGAAGAAAAAAAAAAAAACTGGAAACAATACAATAATCTATTTTATTTAATAAATATAAAATTTAAACATACATACCAATAAACTTTTTTTTTTTTTTTTTTTTTAGAATAAATAAGCTTCAAAAAAAATTAAAAAATAAAAAATTTTAAACTTTATCACAGTCATTTAAATTAGTCCAGCTCTTCATTTCCATTTCATTTTGAGATTCTTCCTAAATAATAAAATAAATTAATTTTAGTTTTTATGTTTTGACAAAAAAACTATAAAGTTTGCTTAATACATTTTTCCATGTGATACCTTTCGAATACAAGGATAAATCTCATTTCGTTCAAATTATTAACATTAATATTACCATAACTAAAAATTTCTCATTTAATTTTCTCTATGTAATTTGAACTTTACAAAAAAATGCTAAAGCATGATATTGATGATTCAATATTAACAAAAAAAAAAACCCAAAAAATTATCTTCCTAAAACAAACTTCTTTTTCTAAAAAATTTGGGATGTAATAAACCAAACCAACTTAATAAATGTAAAAAAAAATAATAATAAATTTCGTTTTGAAACTTATGTAGGTTAGACAATTTTTTTTTAAAAAACTAGTTTATATATATCTCTTTGATATTATTATTCTTAAAAAAAAATTAAATTTTAAATTTGCATTGTTTTAAAAAGAATTTTTAATTATTATTGTTATTAATTTACACAAGACAACTTACAGTATTAATTTTAAAATCCAATTCAAGATATCAATTAAGCATACTCATTTCAAAAATATTTTGCAAAAAACTAAATACTAAAAATTTTTAAATGTTAACCTTTTTAAACATTTTAACAAGTTCCTTATTTTTTTTTATTTTTTTTTTTAAGTAACTAAATGTTCCTAAGTCTTTAAGTAACAGGCTATTTATGATTATTCGTTTTAAAGTAATAATTATTCAGTCGAAATTACTTTTACACATTCTATGACTAGGCATGTTATGTACTATGAAACCCTCTTGATTTTTACATTATAAGTATTTGTTATAGTTATTTAATATCGTAATATTACCTTTTGTAGTCTCATATATTCATTTATTTCAAATTGATATTTAGGAGTTGTAATTCCGAAAAAAGAAGCTAGAGATTCCCCAACATAATCACACAATTCTAGTGCCTTAGATCCAGCAGCTACGGTCTGGTACCACATCCAAGGAAACCAGTTTGCCTTTTGCTTAAAAAATAATTAATGAAATTTTCAAGGTTTTAAATTACTATGAAAAATAATAATTGATTAAAAGTAAAAAATCAATAACAAAGCATACTAAATTTACGGGTAATGATTTGCATTCAGATGTTGAATCAGGAATATCTTGATTATCGTTTTCAACTTCTAATGTACCATCAGAGAAATACAAAATCTTTTTTGAAGAACCATTTGTATATGAATCACCAACATTTTGTAAATCCTAAAAATCACAGAATGAAATTAATAATAATAACCTCTTATTGGTTAATATAGAAAATAATATAAAATAAAATAAATACGTCGTATTTCTTAGTAACATCCATAAATTTAATTTATTTGACTTTGTTACAATTTCTAATTGTTTCAACAAAAACAACTTGTTGCATAGAGTATTTAAAATGTTTATTTTTTCATCAAGATTATATAACATTATTTTTTGTCAAGGGTTTTTTGTATTAAGTTGGCAGAATTGTTATATTAAAACTTTTTTTATTTTTAAATAAGTATAATAAAATTAATTATTACTTTTTTAAGTATAAAACTAATGAAATTAAATGTGAAAACTTTAAGTACTATTTCAAAAAATATACCTTTCATTTTAAATTTTAAAATACTTAAATAAAAAAAAACTCATATTATATATACAATAGATACTTTATACGGTACAAGTTAAAGTTTTCAAGTTTTTTAAATTAATTTTTGTTTTTAATACAAAATGAGTGATTCGACTCAAGCTCATATAAATTTAAAAAAAAGTTATCACGAACTTTGTTTAAAAGAAAAAAATATTGATATGCATCTTACGCTTGTTAAAAATAAATACTCATCTCATTACGAAATGGATCTTTTGCATAAATATAACGAAATTAAAGATGCCACTCAAATATTACTTGGAGTTATTGGGAACATAGAAGGCCTCACAATTAAGGAATTACATAAAAAATTTGAATTACCAACTAGTGAATAATGCAGAGTTTTTATTTTTTAGTGCAATAAAAGAATTTTACATTTTTTTTTTATTGTAAATTTACACACATATAAATTTTCAAAAAATATTTATTACTATGAAATTTCAACTCTCTACAAAGATGAAGACATACTGTTCTTTATTTGGCTGGTATCATACTTGTACTTTTTTGTTATACAATTAAGAATTCATTATTTAAATATATAATTGTTTAACTTAGTTATGTACAATAACATTCACTTAATAAATTTACAAAAATTTCAGATTTCTAAACAATAAAGAGTTTTTAAAAGTTCATCAACTTAAAACCGAAAAAAAAAAATAAAAAAATAATTAAACTAGAAATTAAAGATAATCATTAGTACAGCCTTGTCTGACTTCATATCGTTTGGTTGTGAAATTTGGATGAAACACTCCCAAAGCAGCTTCATTTGTAGATGATGGCGGAGGTTGAATTATTGCTGAATTATTGTTCATTTTCCATGGCCAATTAAATTTGCAGCCAAACGTCAAACCCCAATACTGTTTATTACTCAAGTAGTAAACCAAAGGATTTATGGCAGAATGAGTATGGCCAAGTAATAAACAAAAAGGTAAAATCAAAGCTGGAACTTTTACTTTTAATTCTGAATAAATTTTTATACAAACATATGGCGTCCAACAAATTGTAAAGACTATAACCATAGCTATAAGCATGTTGGCCACTCTTCTGCGACAATGAAGACTTTGACGACTCATTTGTTTTACAAGTGGTGGCATTTTCTTAAATTTTTTTTTACTATCGTTCCTGTGGTCTATTTGAATTTTTTTTTTCTTTTTTGCACTTAAATGTGTTTTCTTTTCTGATATAATTTCAGTTTCTGAAAGGTTTGACTGAAATTCATCATCCATATTTCTTTTTTTATGAAATACCTAAAATAGAAAAATTATTCTTTTTCAATTTTTAATATTTAAGTTTTAATGCTTCTATTTGATGTATGAAACAAAAGGAAAAATAATAATAAAAGTTTGTGTTGAGATAATTATAAATTGAACATGTTTTTATTAATTTTCTATTTTCAGGATTGTTATTATGATGATTCTTCATTAAGATGCACCTACTATTTCTTATTAAAAATATTATTGTATTTGTATTCTGATGTTTTGTGAAGGACATAAAAAAGAGCAGTGAATAATTAATTACCTTCTGAGGTTTTTTTATTGGTGGAAATGAAAAATGAAGAACTGGATGGTGTGACCTTGCACATAATTTATGCCCAACCGAAAAGTGACAATATGCAACCGTCAAACATGGTATTACGTAGACGACAATAATTTGCGATAAAATGTAGGCTGGAAAAAAATAAGAAAAACGTAAGAGATTAAAATAACTTTTTACAAACTTATAATTTTGTTTAAGTTTTTTAATTAGTTTTCTTAATTTTAATTAGTTTTTAAAAAATTTTTCTCAGTAGTTTGAATACAATTTATAATTTTATAAAAAAAATTAAATTTTCAGTTCAATGCGATCCACACCACGCCTGAAGAAAAAAAAAAGAAAATGGAAATTGACCGTTTTTTTTCTCAATATTGATTATAAAATAAAACAAAATTTTTTGTTCCCGCAAAAAGAGCGACATTTTAAATAATGAATGAAAAATTTTACTTATGTAATTTTTTTATTACCCGTCTTTAACTGATTCGAAGGCCAAATTTCTCGACATTGTTGCAATGAAACTTGACGTGCATAAAGGATTGGACTTGTGATAATGGCTGCACCGGTCCATACAATTATTATTATTTTATGAGGACGGAGTTTGGAAAACATATTTGAATGATTGACAATCGCATAACGATCTAAAGCGAGCATCATTAAGGAAGAAGTACTCGCTGCTACTGGAATAGACTAATTAATAATAACTAATTATTAATTTATTCATTTATTATCAATTGGGTAAAATTTACTTTCAATGTAATTTATCTTTTATAATAGAATTGTTACGTTTTTCGAATTCTACTAAATCAAAAAAAAAAAAAATTCATGCATGATTTGTAAATCTAACCTGTAAATAAAATGCTATTTTACAGAAGAACACTCCTGAGGTCCAAAAATTAATCAAGAAATTACACATTGAAAGAGGCATCGAAATGACACATACTAATAAATCAGAAATACTAAGGCTTAATAAAAATCCATTTCGTGTTCTCGATGAGGAACCTACTACTGCAGCAATGACAAACAAATTCGTTGTCACTCCTACCAATGAAGCACAACAGTACAATATAACTATAGTTGAATCTATTCGAGTCCATTCTGTGTTCTCGGTGGTGGAATTTACATTAACAAACATATCATTCTCCACTGACGGTAACAAAAAAAAAAAAAAGAACAAATTTATTACTAATTTTTTTTTTGAGTATCGTAAATTATTTTAATTTTGAGTAATGTTTTAATTTAACTAATGTAAAAGTTTTAAAAAATATTTGTTTGTTTTAAGTTGATTACATTAATTACATTTGATGTTTAGTAATTGGTGGCAAAACTTATGTACGTACTGAATGTCTACTAAAGGCTAAACAAATATGTTTAAAAAAAAACAATAATTTTTTTTTTTATTATAACAACAAAATTGACTAAACGTTAATTATGAAATGTTAAATAATTAAAATAAAAAAAAGGTTACATTAAAATGGTGTGCTTGTTTTTTTTCCCCTTTAAAACCTTTCATTTAAAACAAATTTAAGTTAAGATTAAAATTTTTATTTATTTTATCAAAGGTTTTAAAATTTTCTTAAAAAAAAAAAAAAAGTAGTAATGTACGTTCATATTAATATTAAATAAGCAAGACGACATTTATATTCCCTGTTTATCCAGAACAATTTTAAATACATGTTAATTTTATTTGGAATATAATTTATTTCATTATAATTTAACGGAATTTTCAACAAAACAATTTATTTTAATAAAAAGGCACATATTAACATAAAACTAAACATTTGTATTTATTTACAAATAATATAAATTTTGTGCATAACAATTTTTATTATTATTATATTTTTACTTTCTGTGACTTATTATACTTATTAATATTTATTTTACCTTTTTATTATTTTGTTGATTCCAAAAAGATAAAAATAATCGAATTAAACAATAACACCAGTTTGAGGTGGACACCTGTAGCTTAAAATGTTTTTGACGTCACAAATCCACGTGAAAATTCCGGGAGTTAAAGATTGAGGGGGGAAAGTAAAAAACCGATATTTAATGAGTTTGCGCTTTTCCTACTTCCTGGCTAAAACGAAAAATTAAGAAAAAAACCGGAAACAGTTTATATGTATAGGAATTTTTTTTTTTTTTGTTTTATTCTATACTTTTCGATAATTTAGTGCCATTTTTTTTATTTATATTTATACATAACAATTATTATTATTTGAAGAACATGAACATAATTAATCCAAACATTATCTATATACATTTTCATTTACTGAATTTATCCGTTTCAAATTACAGAAAAAAAAAAAAAAAAAAGGAAAAATCAATTCTAAAGTTTATTTTTCCCACAGATGCATTGTTGCCAAATTTATAAATAAAAATTATTATATCTTTTTTTTTTAATATTTAATTTAATTAACAATATACGAGTGAATTTTTTGTAGATTAAGTAGAAAGCAATTGATTCACGTATTAATTGGTCGAATGAAAAATTACTAACAGAATTTTCCCTTTTTATAAAATTTTTAATAATTTTATAATACAATATATATTATTTTATTCAGTTTGATTTCTATCGAAAATACATACATATATATCAAATAAATATTTTTAATTAAAGTAATGGATGTGTATATATTTAAATAAGAATTGAAAAAAATTATTTAGGGGGAAACCAAAGTTTTTCAATAGAGGAAACATTTTATTTAACGTTCTTCCTATTCTTCTTCTTTGCATTGTTACATTTTCATTATTCTATTAAATATAATAAAAAATTAATTTATTAAATGTTAAATATGAAATTCATATACAATACAATAATACAATTCAAATGATTAAATAACCTTTTTTTTAAACAAATAAAATTTTTTTAATTTACGTAAAAGTATTTAATTTTTATCCATATGAAATTAAAATTATAGAAAATTTTAAATTATTTATTTTATTTTATTTTAATTGAAATTCCCAATTTTTTGTTAATCAGGTTTTAAATTTTATTAATTTAATTAATTTTATAATTATTGATAATCATTATTAAAAATAAATTAAAATAAATTAAAATTTAAAAGATTCTGTGTGTGTGTGTGGGGGGGGGAGGGGGGGTTAATTCGTCAATGAGAAAACTTTTTTTTTTTTTTTTTGATTAGTAATTAGTTATTAAAAAAAAAAAAATTTTTATAAAATAGTTCAATTCAACAGGGGACAAAACAATTCTCTTTGAGATATTATTTGAAAAAATAAAATAAAAATGATATTGTTGCTTAGTCATGGCGGGCTGGAGCTGGACCACATTCCATCTTTGAGTCCGGTCCATAAAAAACATACTCACCTCCGACTACCTGAGTCGGTTTGCCTCTTCTCATCTACAATTTGACCTTTGTTTAGGTTACTCTGGCGTAACTTGCTATCGAAAATATATTTATATATATATTCTTTTTCGTGTAGAGACGACGATTTTTTTTTTTTTTTTTTTTGTAAGAAACAAATTTCTCCTGCTATTTTTTTTTTTTTTTTTTTAGGCTATCGTACACACAAGTTTTATATTAATAATAAATATTTCAACTTTGTCTGGTTTTTTTTTTTTAAAAAGAGAAAATTCTCTTGTATTCATATTTATTTTATGTTTAATTAAAATCAAAATAAACTTATTAACATTATTGCTATTATTTAATTTTATTAAATAAAAAAAAAAAAAAAAAAAATTGAAATTAATTTTTGTTTTAAATAAATTTATAATTTAATTTATTATTATTATTATTATTATCTAGTTAATGATTAAGTGAGAAAACAAAATTTTTTGGCGGTAAAATATTATTTGTGAAAATTTCTTTCCCCCTTCCCTCCACCCGAAGTTTAACAAAATAAATTTTCATTAGGAAAAATCAAATAAGATGAAGAGAAAATTTTTTTTTCCTTTATTATTATTATTATTATTATTATTTTATTTCTCTTTCACAAGTCAAATAAAAAAAAAAAAAAAAAAATCGTCGACAAGAATCACTTTTTTACCCCCCTTTAATGGTTGCTCTTCTTCTACAGGTTCTCTTCCCCCCAACATTTTTCCTATCCTTCTCTCATTCGATATTATATTTATTTTACTATCTCTTTTTTTTTTTTTTTTTTAAACTCTCGTACCGGAGTCGTCTAGAGAATTCAAATCCAGACGAGGAGGCTGTAAAAAAAAAAAAAAAAAAAAAAAAATTCTTTTAATTACGTTTTCTGTCCAGTCTCGTGTTCCCTTGTTCCATTACGTCCAAAAACATGAAATGAGTACCGGATTAAAGGGCGTTCGATGTGTGGGCAGCTTGAATGTCAGTCTCCGATTAACTTTGATCGTGGAACGGTTATAACTTCAATTGTTTACTTACATTTTCTTTTTTTTTTTTTTTTTACATTTTTTATTTAAAGTTACTTTATTGTAAATTACGGTAGGTAAATAATAATTTTATTTAACGTTATTTTATATATACATAATTAATTGTTTTTTTTTTTGTTAATAACGAATGCATGCACATCTTGTGTCGATTGTTTGATGATAAAATAATTTCAAAATGGCGGAATTACTAAAAAACAATTAACTGTTTAATTTTATTGTTTTTCGATTGTGTTCTAAATAAAATAAAATAAAAATTATAATTTTTGCATTCGTAATGAAATTAAATCGTCTTTTTTTTTTAATAACAATTAATATATAATTTACAAAAAAAAAAAAAGTTCCAAAATGAAATTTCGGTTGGAAATTTAAATTTGAAAAGAAAATTAAAATAAAATTATAAGAAAATATATATACAAGAGTTATCAATTAAGGTTTTTTAAAAAATAATATTAACAGGATACAAAAGAAATAATAATAATAAAATCATTATAAAAAAAAAACTTTCACTTTCGCCTACGTTTTTTTTTTTTTTTTTAGGAGGGAAAATGCCATTATCATTATGTTTTTCTTATACTAAATTATTTTTATTTTATAATGCAAATTAATTAAATTATTTTTTAAAGAAAATTAGTTTTATTTAATTTAACGTGAATATTTTTAAATAAATATATTGAAAAAGAAAAAAGAAGTTAATAAAACACAAAATGTAAAAAAAAAATTGTATAATTTACAAGAAGTGAGTGCCATTAAATCCAGTTTTTTTTTTTTTTTAGAGCTTAAGAAATTTAAACAGGTTTTGTAAGACGGGTTGTTAAGATATTAAAAAAAAAAAAATGTTTTATAAGGAATTTTGAAAAGTTTTATTCAGCCTCTCTTTTAAAAAAAATTTTTTTTTTTTTTTTTTTAACTTCACATAATGCGTTACTATACACAGGCACAATGTGTGTGTGTGTGTGTGTGTGTGCGTGTCGCATTTATTAAATTTTTTTTATTTTCAAATAATTTTAGATTGGTATCTGTCTGGTCTTGTTTCAATTTACTATCAAAAATAACATTTTTATATATAAAAAAAAAAAAAAAAAAGTTACAGAGGGAAGGAACGCTTTAGATTTAATAGAGGTGAGGAAGGTAGCTTGGGGCCAACCAACCAACCAACCAACCAACCAACTAGGTTTCTCCCTCCACCTATTTTTATTTTTACCTGAAAAATTTAGATTTACCTGAATACTTTATATAGTTTTTCTATAGGATATGTCATGACTATTAAATATACCTTCCTTCACCCGTTATAAAATTATGTTACAATACATTATTTTTCTATTTTATTTCTTTTATTAAAAAAAATAATAATTAAAATTAATAACTATTAATATTTTTCATTATTTATTTATCTACCTTTTACATGTTTCTTTTCTAATAATAAAAAAAAAGATTATTTATAATAATAATAACAACCCTTTAAAACCTTTATAACTTACAGTTGAAAAATAATAATTTTTTTTATTTTGAAATTTGCTCTTTTGTTATTTCCAGGTGAAAATTTTCAGAAAAAAACAATAATAATAATAATTGTATAATTAAAAAAAAAATCTGGCGCTGATTTTTTTCTTTGGTTATCTAGCTGTATGGATATTTTGAACTTCATAAAGCTACATTACCGAAGGTAATAACAGCGCAAAAAGGCAACTCAACAAAAAGGATGGTTACATAGAAAAATAAAATTTAAAAAAAGGTAAAAACATGATGAGTTTAACGGTTTTTTTTTTCTTTACAACGAACTTTTGTAATGTTTAAAAAATGACTCCAAAAAATTTTTTAAAATATACTTATTTCGTACATGAGACGATTTTTTTATGATTCAAATTTATTTTTGTTCAAAAATGTTAAAACAAAAATTATTTTATTAAATAAAACTTCATTTTTTGAATTATGTTTATTGATTTTTTTTTTAAGTTCCTGACAAAAAAATAATAAAATAATTAACTTAAAAAAATTTCCTTCTTCTTTCATTAATTCTTTTAATTTAAATTATTAAAAAAAAAAAACCTCTAGAAAATTTTTTTTAATATTAATAATTATTAAAAAAATTATTAAGAGTTTCACGATTTCTTTTTTTTTTTTTTTTTGAATTTTAAAACATTATAGTTTGTGTTCAATGTGGCCGTCATGTATTGAAAGGAAAAAAAAAACCTGGAAAAAGAGAGAGAGAGACAAAGAAAGAGAGGGAGAGAGAGTTATTGATCCTAAACCGGTTTATCTGCATAAAAACCTTAAAATATATTTCTTTTTTTTTTTTTCTTATTGGCTAATAAAATCATAAATATACTTAGTGTCTAAAAATAAAAACTTTTTTTTTTTTTCTTCTGGTAGTAACGCTTACTTGAAAAAAATTTTTTTTAAAAAATAACTTCTTTCCTTTTGTTATTATTATTATTATTATTATTAAAATCACGGATTGTTTTTATTATTTTTTATAAAATTTTAAATTATTAAAATAAATAATAACAATAAAATAATAAAAAAAAAAAATACCTATACCAATTGGCTCTCTCTCTCTCTCTCTTTGAGAAATCGTATAAATTGCCACGTGGTATTATGATACCAAATGGGATTCCCCAGATTTTTTCAGTACTTATTAACTTATAAAAGAGAATTATAAGATGAATTATAAATGAATACAAATAAATATGAAAAAATAATTCTTTTTACAATTATAAAATGGAGAAAAAAAAAATACTCACATATTTCGATCAACTTTTAACTCACTTTCTTTTTGAGAAAAGAAAACTTTTGATAGTGGAAATATATATATATTGATATAAAAAATGGTTTTAAAATTTTTTAAATTATTTTTGGTAAGTACAAATTTAACGAAACTACTTTTTTTTTTTAAAAAAAACTTAAAAGTTAGGTAAAAAACTTTGTAGATTAATAAAGAAAATTTTAAAAAAAAAAAAAAAAATTGTCTTTGTTTTCTTAACGAAATTAACAAGTCCTATTTTAATTTAATAAAAATTGTAAGTATCAAAAAAAAACTCAAATAAATAAATATTTAATTGAAAAAAATCGTAGAAAAAAAAAAAATATTTAAAATTTAAAAAATAATTCAAAGATTTTTAAAAACAATAAAATTGAATTTTTTTTTTTTTAAATAAAAATAATAACGTGAATTTGACCTTATTTTTTTTTTTAACTTTTATTTTCTCTTACTTTCACTTTTTTTTTTTTTACGTAACCTTTACCTATTAATTTTATGTATAAAATAAAAGAATATAATATTTTTTAATATAACAAAAAAAAAAAAACCCATAACTAATATATTAAATCTTTTGAATAATAATTTTTTTTAATTATAAAAACCAAATAACATGTTTAAAAATTATTATTATTATTATTTATTAAAATACAATAAAAATGATTTAAACTGAATTTGGCATCTGAAAAAAATAAAATTTATTTATTTATTTATTTTTTTTTTCAGGCAATATTATTAATGATATTTATGGAGTCAGCCAATGCCACATTGCAACCAAGAGCTCCAAATTTTCAATATTTTGAAAGGCTCGTATTTTAAATTATATTAAATAATAATAATAATAATAATAATTTTATACATTTAAAAATTTTAGTTTATGTATATACAAATGTAAAAAAGAAATAAAAAAAATTTTAATTAGCTGTAATATGTAATAAAATAATTAATTTTAAATTTTAGGCCAAAATATAGATATCCATATTATGATACCAATGGAAGAGGAAAACTTTTATATGGATACGGAGGATCTGATTTATATCAATATAAATCTTATTCACCATTAGAAGGCATTCACTAATTATCCTTAAAATTAACAACTTTTTACATTTATAATGTTTATATATATATTATTTTTTAAATTTAGTTTTATGATAAAAAAATAAAAACGCTTTGAAAATTGTTATATTATCGTCGTGAATGTTTATATAAAATTAACATGTTATTATTTAAAATAAATTTATTATGTTTTAATAAAAATATATAATAATAATAAATTTATGAATAATTTTTTTATTTTTCTTCCTTATTATTTTTTTTATATTGAAAACTAACTAAAAAAAAAAATACAAGAAACAAAATAAAAGTATTTTTAAATCTTTCAATTCAAGAATGTTTATCCATTTATTAAATGATTAATTTTTCTAATAAACAAACTTTAGTAAAAAAAAAAAAATAAATAAAAAAATATTTTGTTTACTTTTAAGTAATAATAATAAAAATATATACATATATATATAAACTTTTTTTTTTTTGTTGTTTTTTAATTTTAATCCAAGGAAAAGGTGAAAAATGTCTTCATCTTCATCGGAAGATACTTATTATAACTTAGATGGAGAATATGAAATAGAGGGGGAAATTTATACGGAGGTTGAAAAAAAAGAAAAAACACCCGAACCTAAAGCCATTTCGGTAGGAGATTTTTTACCTTATGGCCCTAGAATGTATTATGAATCACCTGATAACGTTGTCAGAATAAAAGATATTGGAGAAAAAAGTAGAATTTTAGTTATTGGGGTTATTGGATCCTTTACGCCGGACTGTTGGAATAGGCATTTGTTTTTAGTGTTACAAAAACTTGATTATTTTCAAGAAAGAGGAGTGGATTATATATGTTGCATTGCGACCAATGATCCATTCGCACATCAAGCTTGGGGTACTTATTTAGGTTGTGAGGACACTGTTCTTATGTGGGGAGACCCTACCAAAAGATTTACTAAAGCTTTGGGCATGGATATTATTGTGCCTTGGTTGGATAATAATATTAGATCAAAAAGGTATATCATTTTAGCTGATAATATGCTGGTAACTAAAATTCTCAAAGCTCCACAAGATGATTTAGGAATGACATGGCAATGTGAGCATTTCACAGATTTCTTCAGCATTGGCGAAGAAGAAAATGATGACTTAGATTGATATTGTTAAAAAATTAATTTCTGTAAAAAACAAAAAAAAAAAAACTTTCTTTTTTATACCTAATTTTACAATAAATCAGCAAACAAGGAAAACTCCCAAATTTAAAAATACTCAGTGAATTAAATATTTTAAAATATTTAAAAATAATGAAAGAAAAAAAAAAAATGATAGAGTGGCACGAAAAAAAAGTTTATTTGCATGCATCATAATCTAATTTAAATTTATTTCCACTATAAAATGAAAAAACTTTATTATTAAAATCAGTAATCTGATCAGCTAATGTAATTAATAGGAGAAATTTATTAAGAGTTTTTAAAAGAGAAAAAAAAAAAAAATTTATTAACTTATATTATATGAAAATGCATGATTGCAATGCTTAGAGTATCAATTTAATACATTTAAAATTAAAATATTAACAATTACCTTTTTAAAAATATTTTTAAATTTAATTAGTAAGAAATTATTAAGTGTTAAAATTACTTAAAAGGTAATTTTCATCATTGAGAAAAGTAAAATTTTTTTAAAGACAATAATTTAAAATAATTTACTTTTTACGATTCATCATTGCTCGATTGATTTTTACTAACTGAATTATAATATTTAAATTTTGTGATACAATAAATTTGTTTAATTACTGATTTTACATAATTCATTTTAATAATGAAAACCAATTTATCAGAGTTTTCACTTCTTAAAAAATTAATTATAAAATTAAATTTAGAATATCATATTTCTACCGATGTATAAATTAATAAAAAAAAATTTATAATCATTTACATTGTTTAAATTACTGTTTTGAATGTCCTTAACTTTTTTTATACTGTAATAAAAGTATTTATCCCCAGTAATTTCCAAATAAATTCATGTTTTATATCTTGTCAAAATTTTAAATCTTTTATCGCTTGTGGTAAATCAGGCAATTTCATTTCTTTTATTTGTTGAGGAATATTCATATTTTTGACAGCTGACACTGCTCTCGCTGGAGCAGCAATTATCCCTGATTCTTGTTTTTCTAATTTGTTTTGATCTTCAATTCTAATTAATATTTCGTTCATATTTGTTTCGAGAACCATTCCACCCATCACTAATTCATTTAAAATATAATGAACTTTATCAACGTGAAAAATTAAATCAAGTTCGCATACGTTTTCAAAACATTTATCAAGAGTTTCCACAAACACTTGAATTAAATCTAAAATTCCTAATTCCGATTCAGAACTGTCAACACAAAACACAAAATATAAGGTAGCATAATGTCTGTAAATTAATTTATAATCAGAACCTCCAATTAATGTTCCACCTTCTAAGAAATTACACACGTTATCATCCCTTTTCGAAACTAGTTGAAACGTTTCTTTGATAATTTGTTGTTGCATTTCCTCATTAAAATGTTGGTAAAATTTTGTCAACCTCGGCTTTCCATGGTTATTAAAAACTAATATAGCTTTAATCATTTTTTTTAAATTAGATATTAAAATTATAACAACAAATAATTCAAAAATAAACTGAAGATAAGAATAACATTGTCCATTGCTAAATACCAACTTTAAACGGAAGCAAAATTTCCTTTGGCTTATTAAAAAATTCATTTTATAAAATTTGCGCCAATACGATTGTGAAAGTTGTTTAACTGATTAATGAAATTACTTTGTTAAAAATTATACAACACGAAAACTTTAATTTATTTAATATTCTTCTTATTTTTTACTTATATCAACATTAACGCCATTACCTGAAATTTGTATAATTTAAAATACAGAAAAAATGTCAACATTTTAAAACGTTTAATTTTTTTCCAAGAGTCAAACACGAGAAGAAATATGTATGTAGTCGAATCGAATCTTTGCAAAAAATTAAATTATAATAATAATAAAATTTCTTTCTATATATTTAAAATATTTATTTAATATACCATCAAAATATACTTACGGTCTCAAAATGGCTGGCCACAAGATAAAAATTATGTCAAAGGTAGGCGAGTGTCTCTCTCTCTAGAATTAAACTTGAGAATAAATATAATTATTATTAAATTTTTTAAAGATAGAAAATTGCAAAACTTTGTTTAAAAAAAAAAAAAAATGATGTTTAAATAACTTACCCGTCCAGAAGATTCACAAGCACACAGTGTATGTACTCATAATCACATTTAAAAAACATAAACTACATTCGAACAAATTGTTTATTAGGTAACTTTTTATTTTTAATTTGAAATATTGTTATGTGTTTATCTTTTATTTAGCAAGAGCATAATAACCTTTATAATATTTGTACTTGTTGTTCATGTTGTTTCATGAATACCATATGTACCAATTATTAAATAAACAAAAATTACAAATAAAATATATCCGAATTATCTTTTACCTAAATAATATTTTTTTATTTTATATTTAGATTACAAATATAAATGTTAATTTCAAACCAAATCATAAATAAACAATAATTTAGTACTAAAAACTTATATCATATAATAATCAATTAGATGTTAATTGTATTCATAGTACATGATACATAATATATATGATATCCATAAATAAATATATATACATATATATTTAAAGCTAAAAATAAATTTTAATTTATATTTAATAATTATTTATATTTATTTTTTTTAAAATCACATTTGTACCTTACTTATTATTAACATGAATTTTAAAATTTAAATGAAAAAATTCATTAGCTTCAAAATATGATGTTTAAAAATCAAAATAATTTACAATTAAGGCGGAATATTTAACACTTTTGTTAGAAGGCCAATAGCTTTTGCAGGAATGTAAAGTTAACTTATAGAGCATTCCGAGTCTCTGGGATTATAGAGGAAAAGAATGATGATACAAAAGTCCAAGTAAGAGTTATAAAAGAAGGATGTTCTGGATTTGCATTTATTTGCTCAGGTTCAATTTGATCTAAACCATTTTCTGCAACGGGTAATTCACCAATGTCTTCATTTAAACCATTATTATTGTTGTTGTTGTTATTTTCTGGTGCCAAATTATTATTAATTATTTCATTATTATTTTCCACTCCTTGAAATTGATTAATCCTGAAAAAACCTATTTGATGCCTAAAAAAGTATAAATTAAAAATAATGATAATTTACCTTGTTATTTAGTAATTGTAATTTAAATGGAAAAAAAATATATATATTCATGCTTATTAACCCAAATTAAAAAATAATATCATGAAAAAAGATTCGTGTACAAATTAGCAAGATATAGATACATCAGTTAAACAAATAAAAAGGTTCAAATAGCATATAAATGGAATTTGTATCAAGTCAAATGTAAGTGAGTACTATCGGATACTATAGGCTAAGTGTAAAAAGTTAATGTAATGGAAATTTAAGAGAAAAATAATCTGATTTTTAGCATAATATAATCGAAAAATGATGTATTCAGAAGAGTTTAAAGACCAAGGTTGAGCAAAGTTATGAATAAATTTAGAATAGCACAAAAGCATTCAGAATTAAATTAATTCAAAAATCTAATTTAGTTTAATCATACATTGATTTCATTAAATCAAAAATATTTTGATGCAAACAATTTTTTTTTTTTAAATATAATTATCTAATAATAAAAAAAGAGTTTTATTTTAAATGTTTTGAGAGGTCCCCTACAAAGTCCCAATCCTTGTATTAAAAATGTAAATAAATAAAACAAGAAGCTCTAAATTTTCTTTAACCCAGTAATCAGAAAAAAATAGAAACTCAATATATTTTTATTTTAGTTTTTTCAACTTTGAAAAATATAAAAATAATATTGTATTACTTACAGGTATAGTGCCATACCAAGAGATGAAACAATAAGAAATCTGGCTGGTGAAGAATAAAAATATAAAATTGCAAGTAAAACAATAAGTCGGCTCAAAATGCAAAAATAATCCAACCAATCTCTATGATTATCTTCATCTTCATCACGAATTCCTTGATTTTCAATATTATGAGCATTTTCTGCTTGCCTAGGATCGGAATATTCATTTCTCAATCCGTTTTGTCGAGCCACCCTGAAAACAATTACAATAACTTTAACAAAAAAAAAAATTTAAAATGGTCAACGAATATGAATGAAAATAAATAATTCTTAAACTTACATGTTCATGTACAGACTTAAATAATAATTTGCATAAAACTGTTGCATCCAAGCCCATTGCTGGGCGTAATCATTGGTATTTTGTGCTTGAGAATAAAATCCGCTTAACCAATTTTGATAGTTAGTAGCTTGGATGTAGTCTCTCATGGTTGTTGGTTCTTGCTCTATCCTAGTTTCTGACAAGCTTTCACTTTCATTCAATTGTAATCTTTGCCCAGAGAAATTTTCATTTGAACTAGTTTCCAGCACTTTTTTTTTACTTTCCTCTGATAATTTTCTCGCTTGCATTTTCAGGCTTTCTTTGGATGGCATGCAAACTAAATGAACCGTATGTGTTTCTTCTCCTGCTTCATAACGAGTAAATACATCTTTTAATGTTACACTGTCGCTAAGTAATTGTCCATAGTAAATTAATCTTTGGTCTTCTGTATTCTAAAAATATAATTCAAAAAAATTATTATACATCTTTTTTTATGACTCAGTAAAACAAATAATAGTTTTTACATTTTTTTTTTTTTTTAATGATACAAAATAAATTTTATATTCAATAAGAAAAATGAACAGTTACATGTTGTACTTTTTAAATAGTTTTATATTTCATTCATGAAAACAAAAGTGGAAATTTATGAGACTAATAAAATTAAATAAATTTATGTTTCTTTTTTTTTAAACTAAAAGTTTTCTTAATGTATAAATTTTTTGTGAATGAATAAAATTATAATCAGAAAATTAATCATATATGTTATTATAGATTATTTATTTTATATTCATTGTTTGAATTTCACAATTATATAGTTTGAAATTTAGCTTATAATTAAATAAATAAAAAAATAGAGACAATAATGAACTATAAAAATTAATATTTTTCTTCAGAGAATTTAATTTGAAATTTTTTTTACTTTTTGTGAATTATAAAATGTTAAAAACTACTTTCAATTTAGAAATAAAACTTTGGTGTATTTATGTCACATCTTTTTTTACCTATGATATATTAAATTTCTATGCTTAACATAATATTTAATTAGCAAAACTTTAAAAAGGAATATGAAATCTGTAATAGTAAAACATAAAAATTATTAATAAATATTTATAAATAAAAATTTAAAAGAAAAACTTTAAGATATGGCTGCAAAATTCACCTGATTAAAATAACTTTTTTCTTTGAAGCTTTATAAGAAATTTTTATTTAACAAACATTTTAAATATTATTATGTAACTAAGTGATAAATTAGATAATAAATTTTGTTTAGAATATATAATAAAAGGATATTAATAGAATTGTAATTCCAATTTTCTTCACTCAATCCAATATTAATTAAATGAATCTTTTCGCAAAATTTTAAAATAAAGTTCAAAAAAAAAAAAAGCAGATTTATACAGTCAGGGTGTAAAAAAATCAAATTTCCTTTTTTACAAAAGATAAACTTAAAAAAAAATATATACATATAATTGTGTTACTTTAATTGGTCTTGAAACTTTATATAACTGTTTTAATTAATATTTAAAAAAAAAATTTTGTCAAAGTTATCAATTTTTAAAATAGACAGAATAATTTGCTTACAGGTTTGCTGGGGTAAACTTCCGAAAGATACCCTTTAAGCCTTTTAATGGTCCATGATAAATTACAATGTATTGTTTGATCCTCAATCTGTTGATTTGGGGCTTTTACAATAAGTTTAACTGGTATCTCTAGCATAGCTAGCCTACTCCTTAAACCTGAAAAATTGATTTTATATGTTTACTTTTTGTGAAATTGTTAGTCTTAATTACATCATACTATTTATATCTAATTGAAATCAATTTGTAAATAAACAAAAATAAATATTTTATATTCAATTTAATTTTTAATTTATTAATTACCTTAAATCTTCATAAAATAAATAATTATTTTCTTTATCACTAAGAAATTTAACAAAAGCGTAATAATATGTGTGTTGATAAAAATAAATTTGACACTAAATATTCTTCATAAATAAATAATTGAACTCCTTTAAATATATATGTTTTTAAAAATATTTTTTTGTCTCTAATAAAAAAGCACAAAACTAAATGAATAACTAAATGATATTTTCAAATTAATTTCCCGACTTTTAAATTAGAAAATGAAAATAAAAATAAAAATTTTGTTGTCTTCAATTAACAAGATATATACGTCATAATATTTTTTTTTCGAAATAAAAAACTAAGTTTTAAATATTAGGCGTTACCATTTTAATACCAAAATAAAGTACTGATTAATGTTAAAATGAAATATAATAAACTTTTTATCATTCAAAATGTAAAAAATTAAAAAAGAAAATTTCAATATTATCTATGAATCTTTTTGATAAATTTCTATTAAAAAAAAAAAAAAATCAAAGCTTTTGTTTTAAAAAATTGTAATGGAATTAAAATTAAAACTTAACAATGACATTATTCAATTTTACAAAAAAAAAACACATTTAATTAATTTGTATTATAAGAATACTGTAATTAATTAAAAATTAAATTGAATTTTGGAAAAAAATTAAAATTTTTATTTTTCAAGACTTACTGTTCAAGAATTAGGACAATTAGTATGTTGTGAGTGGCTTATACATTTGCACTTAATAATTGTATTTAATTAGTATAGCCAACTTTACAAATCGAATAAAAGAATTTTAATTTATGTTTGGGGCCCTGAATTGAAATAGGTTCTAAAAAGAATTAAAACTATTATGTAAATTTATTCGTTTTAAGCTATTAAAGCTTAATCACTCTGTTAAATGTATTACCGATGCATTTAAATTAATACAACATCTATATTTTGTAAATATGTAGGTTCTGTTCGTAATAACTAAAATTTTTATGCGTAGATTATATTATCAAAACCATTCAATCAAATTAAATTTGTTAAAAAAATTTTTTTAATATAAAATTGTTTAACATGATTAAATGTTAATTTTACAATATTTATATATATGATACAATCGTATTTGAATAATGAACAAATATTTCTGAGCAGTTAGTGCTTAAAAATAATTAATATTGATTTTAGATGCAAACATACACTTGTCCTTCATTTAATTCAAATAAAAATATTAGAATAAAAATTCAATGTTTCCGTTAATGTTTTAATAAGTAATAAAATTAAAATAGTTATTTATTCATATTTTATAATATTTATATGGAGAAAAGTCATGATTGCATACAAAAAAGAGCACATTAAAGAAATCAAGACCCTAGTTTTTTTTCCCTTTACCTAGTAATAGTATTAAATTAGTACTTTTTTGTTAAAGAATATTTTTAAAAATAATTATTGATAAATGTTGGGTGCAACATTATTAAAATTGTAAAATATTATTAACACACATTATACATATTATTTACTCTATACATTGCTTAAAGTATATAAATAAACACTTGTACTGTATTATAATTTTAGATTTTAACCATGTAGTCATATATATATATATATGTGTGTGTGTTGCTTTGCTGAAAATTTTAAACATAAAATATTAGACGTTAAGAACACATGCATACAAATATGAAATAATTAAATTTTTTTGTCATTTAGGTATTATATGGGGAGAGAATGGGGTTTAAAATTGGTTTGTCACCAACTTTGACCCTATTCTTTCTGGTAGTGATGTTGATTTGTTTCACTACTGTTAATGTATGTTGTAATGGAAGTGAAATCGGTAAAGACAAACAAAAATGCAGTAATTCTATCTCTGTACAGCTTATTAATACAAAGTTTTCTTCTAACATAGTAAAAAATGGTAAGTCACTTATCAGATAAAAATATTAATTATTAATTATAAACTATAGAAATAAGTTTTACTTAATCTTATTAATAAAATTTCTTATAATTTACATCATAATAGCTATTATAACAAAATACACATTATTTTAATTATATAAAAATTTAATACAGAATACATTGTGGGTTTCAATGGATATTACAAGCAATCAACAAGAAAAAAGTTTATTGAAGCTGCTTTAAATAAATCTGGAATTGCCAATTGGAAAATTATGAAAAGAAGTAATCCAGCAAGTAATTTTCCTAGTGATTTCGATGTTGTTATGGTTAAGTATAACATATTTTTTCTTCTTAAATTTTTAATTTTCTTAATAAAAAAAAAAAAGACTGTACTAAAATTTTGCCATTATTTATGTTCATATTATTATAATTTGGCAGCTTGAAGGAACAGATCATTCAAATGGACTTGATGCTTTAAATAACCATCCATCTATTAAAAGAGTCACTCCTCAGAAAATTGTTCACAGATCTTTAAAATATGTTAACTTGACAGAACCGTTTAAATGTTCAAACCTGACTTGCAACAATTATAACACATGGCAGTCTAGACATTTTAGAAGATCTGGATTATCAATTGTAAGTAATATTTAAAAGAAAATTTTTAATTTTTCACTTAGTGAGTTTTTTTTTTTTTCATCGGGTAGGAACAAGCTTGGCAATCACCGGGGCGTCATACAAATAGGCGTTTATTAAGAGCCATCCCTCGTCAAATCACTTCAATTTTACATGCTGATGTTTTGTGGAGTATGGGAATTTCAGGTCATGGTGTTAAAGTTGCCGTTTTTGACACAGGTTTGGCTAAAACTCATCCTCATTTTAAAAAAGTAAAAGAAAGAACCAATTGGACAAATGAAAAAACATTGGATGATGGGTTAGGACATGGAACATTTGTTGCTGGAGTGATTGCTTCAAATAAGGAATGTTTAGGTTTTGCTCCTGATGCGGAACTTCATATTTACAGAGTTTTTACTAATAATCAAGTATGCTTTTTTACATTACAAAAATAAAATGTCTTTTCCTTTGATTTGATTTTATAATAATTAACATTTTGACTTACCATCTGTTTGCCTTATCATGTAAAATTTTCAAAATTCATTATGAATGTGTGCTGAAAATATTTAGTTTGAAATACTTAAGTTAAACTTAAAATTACCCTAAAGCCGCAAATTTTTTCTTAATATTTTATTAAAATTATAGTTTAAAAATATTTTTTGATAAGTCAATGTGATTAAATAAGTAAAAATTGTAAAACATTCAGCTCATATTTTTAAATACAATTTTATTTTTTAGGTATCATATACTTCTTGGTTTTTAGACGCATTCAACTATGCCATTCTTAAAAAAATCAGTGTTCTTAATTTGAGCATAGGAGGCCCAGATTTCATGGATTATCCGTTTGTTGATAAAGTCTGGGAATTGACAGCTAATAACATAATTATGGTATCAGCGATAGGTAATGACGGACCCCTATATGGAACGTTAAATAATCCCGCCGATCAGATGGACGTAATTGGAGTGGGTGGAATTAATTTTGAAGATCAAATTGCGAAATTTTCCTCACGGGGCATGACAACATGGGAATTACCCCAAGGATACGGAAGGGTAAAACCAGATATAGTGACTTACGGTTCAGCAGTTCGAGGATCAAACACTAAAGGAAACTGCAGAACTTTATCTGGCACTAGTGTGGCATCTCCTGTCATAGCTGGAGCCATAACACTTTTAGCCAGTGGGGTTTTACATCGAGGTAATGTTATTAATCCTGCAAGTATGAAACAAGCGCTAATGGCTTCCGCTCGCCGATTACCCGGAATAAATATGTTCGAACAAGGACATGGCAAACTGGATTTATTGAAGGCTTTTCAAATTTTAAATAGTTACAAGCCTCAAGTAAGTTTAAGTCCTAGTTATATTGACTTAAGCGAATGCCAGTACATGTGGCCATATTGTACTCAACCATTGTACTACAGCGGAATGCCAACTATTGTCAACGTTACTATTTTAAATGGAATGGGTGTTTCTGGCAAAGTTTTAGGAAAACCCATATGGTCTCCATATATTCCACACAATGGTCAATATTTAGAAATAGCCTTTACTTATTCAGATGTATTATGGCCTTGGTCCGGTTGGTTGGCAGTCACTATATCTGTTTCAAAAAACGCTGAAAGTTGGGAAGGAATTGCTCAAGGCCACATTACTTTAACCGTCGAATCTCCTCCGGAAGACAACGAAAGCGAACCTCGCTCATCTACCGTGAAACTATCATTAAAAGCTAAAATCATTCCTACTCCTCCAAGGCATAAACGTATATTATGGGATCAGTATCATAATTTAAGGTACCCTCCGGGATATTTTCCTCGTGATAATTTAAAAATGAAAAATGATCCGTTAGATTGGAACGGTGATCACATTCACACTAACTTTAAAGACATGTATCAACACATTCGTAATAATGGTTATTACGTGGAAGTGTTAGGCTCGCCCTATACTTGTTTTGACGCTACATTGTACGGAACTTTGTTACTAGTAGATGCAGAAGAAGAATACTTTCCTGAAGAGGTAGCTAAACTAAAGAAAGATGTTGATAATGGTCTCTCGCTTGTTGTTTTTGCAGACTGGTACAATGTATCTGTTATGAAAAAAGTAAAATTTTACGATGAAAATACTAGACAGTGGTGGATGCCAGATACAGGGGGTTCAAATGTACCTGCCTTAAACGATTTATTATCATCTTGGGGAATAGCTTTTGGTGATAAAGTTTACGAAGGAAATTTTAAACTGGGAGATCATGAAATGTACTACGCATCTGGTACATCGATTGTACAGTTTCCAGAAACGGGAATACTGACAAAAGTACAATTAAAAGATCAAGGAAGAGATTTTTTAGGAATACCTGAAAATTCTTTAGAAAAAATACCCATTTTAGGATTTTATCAGTCGGCGTTCAGTGAGAAAAGTGGAAAGGTTATAGTTTATGGTGATTCCAATTGCTTGGACAATAGCCATTTGCAAAAAGGTAAAAAAAAAATTGTTTTACTTTAATTATTACTAAAAATAAATATTATTTATATCATATATTTTTGTTACAGATTGCTTTTGGATGTTAGATGGAATTTTAGATTACACTTCTACTGGTCATTTACCATCAATTTTTAACAACAATGATTCTTCAGGAATTAATCAGATTATTCAATGGCCGCAAAGAATGGAAGGAAATCGTTTACATCACTATTCAAAAGTACTAGAAAATTACATGAGTGGACCTCAAACAAAAGATTTACCTCCTTGTCCTCATTTAACTTGGGCATTGCCAGAGCCATTAAATTTATCAGCTCCAACGTAAGTAAGTTTCTTGTAGAGTTCCAGTCAGTCAATACCTTTTAAGTGACAATCAGTTTATTTAATTGATTTCTTTTCTTTTTACTTTTTATATCATTTTATATATTTTATATTTTATACAAAATATAAAATTTTAAATCATTTTTTCAACTTTAAAAAACATAATTTAATTTTTTTTGTTTCAGAAATCTTTACAAGGCACAAAAACTTTTATCTGTTGATATTGAATCTCAACTGACTCTCTGGCAATTTCCTGTTTTAAAAGGAAGCCAAACTGATGAAATTAATAATATTTGGGAGTGGAAAAATAATATGAACACTTCAGAATCAAACCTCGCGTCTTATCCTACCCTTTTGTTAATTATATTACTCTGTGTAATTATTTATACAGCTTTTGGATTTCATAGGCATAGAATGCGGCCAAGAAGAAAAAAATCCAAATTGAAGAAATTATTATCTGTTATTAATTCAGGACGCATTCCTGCTGTTTAATGATATTTAATTTTTTTTTTAAATATTTATTTAAAAAAATTAAAATAAATATATTTTAATATATATGTATATATATATGTACTAAATTCATTTAAAAGTTTTCCTACACATCCTACATCATATGATATCTAAACTGCTTAAAATAATAATAATAATAAATAAACCAACTTAGACTGAAAGTATTTGTTTGCTCAATGAAGTAAATGTATTAAATTACTTACAGATAATAAGTATAAAATAATCATCTTGCAATTTTTTTTTTTTTTTTATAACTTCTTGCTTTTAATAATAATTAAAAATTGTTAATAATAAAACACTGCATACAAGATTTGTTATGAAATTCTTTTTTATTCATGTACTAAACCAACATTGAGTTATTATTATTTATTTATTTTTTTTTAAAGAATTAATCCATTTCACCATCACAGATTTGCTTGTTAATTTTTAAATGAGGAAATCTCAGATAAAGATTTTTTTTTTAAAGGTATTGTCATTTATAAAAAAAATTTCAATTATCATTAAATTAACATTGAGACTAAATTTGTATATTTATATTATTCAAAATAATATTATAATTTTATTTCATAATAATTACTTAAGTGTTTATTTTTTTTATAATTATATATCTTTTCTAAAAATGTGGTTTATATTTTAAATTTTTCTTAAACATTTGAGAAAAATTTTCTTTTATAACTAAAAATTTTAAAGTTACCCTAACCCACGTTTATTTTTTAAGAACTATCCCAACTACAAATGAAATGTTTTGATAAATTTTTTTATGAATTATTATTCTTTCCCAATATTTAAACATCAGAAATTTTGAGGAAGAATGTGACCATCCTTAGGATGATAATTTTGAATAACTATTCTAGTTTCCGAATTGGTAATAGATTCTATTCTATGTAAAGTATTAAATTTGAGCCTAAATTCTTCAGCTGTGCTATTTATTTTTTCTCTACCTTTAAATTCATTGTAATTTGTGTTTTCATACAATTCATCTCCTGGTAAAATGTAAACAGAACCATCTAATGTTTCTATTTTTTCAGGCATCCACACATAACACCCATTTTGACTTCTATCTACAGAAAACTTTTCTAAAGAATCTATATTTTGAAATCTTAACAATCTAGAAATTTCATAAAATTGAGGTGGAGGAAGCCAAATGTCTTTGTTCTTATGTAAAGTCGCTAATTCATCAGGTGATGACCAAAAAACTTCTGTCACTTCAATATCATCAGGTGCAATATTTAAATTTTTATTTACACATGCAATAAAAAAACATGTGTTGAAGCGCTTTGTGGAAACATTAAAAGGTGTTAACCAATTACTCCATAAATTTAAACTTTGAACATCTGGATAGCAGTTAAGATCTTGACACAAAATGAAAAATTCTGAAGGATCCAGTTGGATTTTTTTTCTCCAAATGCCTATATTATTTGGGCAAAGCAATGAAGATAGCTCATCATATTTTAGAGAAGTATCTTTTTTTTTACACAGTAAAATTCCAGTTTCTTCAAAAGTTTCACGAATAGCAGTTATTTTTAAAGACAGCAATTTCGGTATTAAACCTACCTGGTTATTAAGAATAGAAGGTGCTTCTTTTATTTTTGAGATATCATGATTTTTGATTATGGAATCAGAAAATAAATTGAGCCATTTTTCATTAGCATCAAATGAATGAACAGTTCCTCCAGGAAATACAGTCCCACGAGGCATAAATTTACTTTTAGGACTTCTTAGTAATGATAAAATAGAATAATCCCAACCTTTTTTAACTACTGAACCATTATAAGCCGCTAAAATTAAGGTAGATGCTTCTCTTACATTTGTTTTCATTTTTTTAAATATTAAAAAGAGAATATACAATTGTATAAAATTTTTTATTACATTTAAATATATATTGTTATAACATTAGTTATCTTGGGCTTTCATTAAAAAGATAAAAGTTGAAAATTTAACTTCAGAGCATTATTGCACTTGAAGATTGTATTACATAATAATGCATTTCTGGTTTTTTGATGTTTTTAATCACAAAGTTTTTCTTACTTGCTGTAGTTGGCAGCAACATAATGATAAATTACGACCAATAAAAACAATGTAATTCCTAATGCATTAGCAAAGATTGCAAGTTGAATGTCGGTAATCATACTGGAAAAAAATCACACTATTTTATTTAAAGTATTAATTAAATACACGGCTTTTTAATAGCTTTAAAATTACCTGAAATTATTTTAATTATAAATCTTAGAGTTATTATCTTATCAATATCTACCGGAAAACATAAATATAAACGTTTACATAAAAATGGCAAATCTCTCCAGCTTGGCGACAACTTAATGCGTACCGAGTACGTTGTTTACAACTTAAAAAAAATTCTCCTTCCACGTTTTTTTACGTTTAATTAAATGTTTTGATGTATGCACTGTACCAATAGTATATATATATTAAAGTACCTTATATATTAAAATTAAAAATGTATGCATCCGAATTTTTGTTTTTTTAATTAGTGGCATGTCGTCAGATGAGGAAGAAAATACTTGGAACAGGGAAGAAATTGAAAATATTTTAAAAATTTCAAATTTAAAAAAAAAAGAATTTAATTCTAATTTTCAAGTAAGTGGATGGGAGGACGATAATGATGGAATTATAGAAGAAGTAAATCCTCATGGCAAGTATTTAAAATCTTCATTAAAAATTTTATAACAATTTCATACTAAGTTTTTTTTTTTGAAATTCAAATAACGGTTTTTTTTCATCTTTTTAAGAAAATTCAGAGTCCGAAATTTTGTGGGCCGCCGAAAATGGAAATTTGATTTCAACAAAAAATTTATTAGCAGAAAACTCAAATTTAATAAATGTAAAGGACAGAGATGGGTATTCCCCACTACACAGAGCCTGTTACAATAATCATCCTGATGTTGTAGAAGTATATTCATTTACAAAAATATTTTATTTATTATTTTGTTAGCAAAAATAATTCTGTAGTATTTTTTGTTATTTTAATACTAAAACTCATTATAAATTGAAAAGTGCTAATAATTTTAATTAAAAACTAAAAGACTCTTACTTAAATAAAAAAATCAAACATAATTGCAACTAAATTTTAAGAATTTAAATATTTAAAATTACATATCAACATACTGTTTTCAAAAAAAATGTTTTTTTTTTCATTTTTGTAAACATTTTTAAAATACTTATTTTTTTAGTTTCTAATATCAGCTGGAGGAAATATATTTGCAAAAACTTTAGATCTTTGGCAACCATTGCATTCATCTTGTAAATGGAATAATGCCCTGTGTGCTGCTAAGCTTTTAGATGAAGGAGCTGATATTAATTGCAAAACTAAAGGAGGTGGGAAAATATTTATAACCTAAGAAAATCTAAGAAAAAAAGAAAAAGTATAACTTTAAAATAAAACAATGTCAAAGTCTTAGATTGTCAAGTAATAATTCATTTGAAAAAAATTTAGTATTTGTATGTTATTTTAAAGTATACAGTAAATTACAATTAAACACTGTAAGTTTTTATCTCTTTTAAAAAATTTTTTTGATAAAATAAATTACTATTGTTAATACAGTTAAGAAATGAAGAGAATAAAAGAGTATCTGATGATTGAAAAAAAATCAATTTTATTCACAATTTTATTAATATTTTTGTTTTTTATTTGTTACTAATTATAGGGCATACACCACTTCATTTGGCTGCTTCAAATGGAAAAGCTAAAGAAGTCCTTCAATTATTGTTAAGCAATTTTAGTTTAAAACCGTTTTTAAAGAATGATAATAATGAAACTGCTTATGATATAGCACAAAGATCTGGAAAATATTACAAAATTTTTGAAATTATTAATGTAAGCATTAATTTAATTAATGAATAAAATAAATATAATTATATAAAATAGTCAGTTCTTGAATTTTTTTTTTTTAACCTTTTCTTTTTATTGTTATCCACAATTTTTATATTTGTTTAATGTATATTATTTTTAGAATAAAAAATGACACTTAATTACAAAGACGCGAATATTTTAATTTATACAAATAAAAAAATATCTTTTATAAAAAGAAATTTTCTGCTTAAAGTAAAGTCTAAGAATATTAATATAATTATTAATCTTTATTATTTTCACCCCATAAATATATGTTACTTCCGGCGGCTGTTGCATATAATTCTTTTGTAGGATGAGGAGAAATAGAATGAACTATATTTTCATTTTCATGAGGAAACAACTTGAAACATTTGCTAGAAAGAAGTTCCCAACACCACAAATTCTTATTAGCAGATCCTGATAGTACATAATTATCTTTTAAGCTAACACAACATTCAATTAAATAATCTTTAGAATTATGTCCACTGTATTCTGAAAGGATTTCTCCATTTTCTTTATCAAATAATCTCAATACATTTTCTGAACTTAAAAGTAAACATTGAGAATCTCTGGTAAAAGTTGCATAAGTCACTGAATCTAAAAAAAAATGTAATTAAGATAATAGAAATTATTATTACTGATAAAAGAGGTTAAAAGAGTATTATTTAAAAATATTTGAAATCGTCCTCACCTCCAATAAAATCTGCAAAATATTTTCCCATTCGTATATCATACAACCTAACCCAACAATCTAAAGAACTAACTAAAATTTCATGACCATTTACTTGAATACTACTTATACAGTCTTCAGCATCTTTGAGCACCTGAAAAAACCTAAAACCGTTAAATTTTTCAAAAAAAAAAAATTTTTAATTTTACATAATTGAGCATATTTAAACACCTGAATTGGATCATTTTTTTTGCCTTTAACATCCCAAAATATTACTGTATTATCTTGAGATCCTGATATAGCCACAGAAGATTCTTCATTAAATTTTATGCAAGTAACTTTTCCAGCATGTCCGTGAAACCTTTTTAAAATTTGTCCAGAAGAGACATCCCATAGTATTACAGTCTTATCAAATCCACATGAAATTATTTGGCTTGAATTAAAAGTTGTAAAAAAAAGTTGGAGAAAATAAAAGTTATAAACTTAGCGTAAACCCAAATTAAAATGTAAAAATTTTAACTAACCTATTATCACATGAACCACAAGCATCAGTCACATCACTAGCGTGTCCGCCATAAGTTTTTAAAAGTAAAGATTTATAAGGATTCCATAATTTAATTTTTTTATCTGATCCACAAGTTAAGCAATAACACCCATCAACTAAAGTAAATAATTTTTACTATTACTAATAAAAAAACATTTAAAAATGATTTAAATTATTGAAATAAAAAATTAGAATTTAATTTTTCTATAATTTAAAATGTTCTTATAATTGAGCGCGTATTCATCAGATACGAAAAAAAAAAAAATAAAAACTTACCGTTAAATCGAACAGCTCGTATAGCTCCTTGATTACAAGATAGTTTTTTTAAACAAACAAGATCCATTAATTTTTTTTCGAATTGTTAAAAATCAGAACGAAATGAATAAATAAAGACAGACAAAAGTTTTTACTCTGTAAATAATATACGTCTGCCATGATTATTTATTTTTTTTTTTACAGCCACGAAATTGCGTAGAGCAAAATAACCAATATTAATTTTTTTTTTTTTTTTTTTTTTTTTGCTAATGTAAACAAATATTTATTGTAAGTAAAACAGATGATATTAATGTCGAACAAGTAACTGATTGCAAAATTTATACAATAAATAATGAAATCACTTTATAAATTTGGCTATGTTTTAAAGAATAAGGTAAGTTTAATAAATGCTTGTCTCCTTTACGGAAATTTATAATTATTTATTTACTTTTCTTTTTTTTTTTTTTTACCTTAAGTTTAGTAATTTACCAATTTAGCTTAATGTTGATTAATGAATGAGAATAATTTTTATTTTCAGACATGTAAAACATTATTTAGTAAAGCTCATCAAGGATTTATTGTTAAATTTCATTCTGGTGTTAAGCATGGAGTTCCTTTAATTCCAGTAGTTATAGAGCAAACTGGGAGAGGCGAAAGAGCTTATGATATATATTCAAGGCTCCTTAAAGAAAGGATAATTTGTGTTATGGGTCAAGTAAGTAAATGTAATTCAAAAAAATTTTTTTAAATATGATAAAGAAGTTAAATGTTAAGTTTTTTTTTTTTTTCCTCTCTACAGATACATGATGAACTTTCCAGTGTAGTTATAGCACAATTACTGTTTTTACAATCAGAAAATAGTAAAAAGCCTGTACATATGTATATTAACAGTCCCGGTGGTAGTGTTACTGCTGGTTTAGGAATTTATGATACAATGCAATACATTTTACCACCTGTAGCAACATGGTTAGTTTTAATTTTGATTTCGATTTGATTTTTACTTAGGTATATTAACATTGTTTATTTATTTAAGTTTAAAAAAAAAAATTTTATGTTTACCACCATTTTCAAACTATTAAGCACTATAAAAGATAGTATTTATAATACAAGCTTTTATTCTTGGAAAACAAATAGATGAAACTGATATATATATATATATATTATAATTTGAAGTTAAATTTAATAGGCTTGATTATGAGAAAAAATTTGGTTTTAATTTATATTAGCATCAGAATATTCTCAAAATTTTTGAAATTAATAGTATTGAATGTATTATTAAACAAAAACTAATTTAAAATGGTAAAAAGAAGAAAATGTGAAAAAAAATTTTAATTTAATTTTAATTAAAAATTAACCCACAACCGAGTTTTATGTAAAAGTTCAAATTTTTAAATTAAATTAATATAAATTTAAAAATAACTTACCTCGATATTCCAGGTGTGTTGGACAAGCATGTAGTATGGCCAGTCTTTTACTTGCTGCAGGAGCATCTGGAATGAGACATGCTCTTCCCAATGCTAGAATAATGATTCATCAACCTTCAGGAGGAGTGCAGGGTCAGGCAACGGATATTCAAATTCAAGCTGAAGAAATACTAAAATTAAAAAAACAAATAAATCATCTTTATGTTAAACATACTGGCCTATCCATTGAAAAAATTGGTAAATTTGAAAAACCTGCTTTTAAAATTTCAATTTATTTATTATTAATTATTTTTTTTTTTTTTTTTTTTTTTTAGAGCAAAGTATGGAAAGAGATAAATTTATGAATCCGTCAGATGCAAAAGAATTTGGAATTATTGATAAAATTTTAAATCATCCACCCAAATTGGGAGAAAAAGCAGAGGATGAATCTAAATCTAGAGTAGAAATATCTCAACCTATGTAAATTTATCAAAAGTATCTTGTACAGCAATCGAGTAACATTAATGTTTTAATTTTAATATAACAAAAAAAAAAAAAAAAAAAATAGTGTTTTACAATAACTTTTTCATACTGTTATTCTAATTTTTTTTTTTTTTATAAAAATTTTTTGTGTAAATATATCAAACGAACTATTAAAAAATATAAACTAGCATAAAAATTTTCTATTGTAGTTTTCGAATTGAATAACCTTAATTTAAAAACCTAAAATAAAAAATTGTAAATATAGCCTGGAAAACATTCGGGCTTAGAATAATGAAAATTTCTGTTCAATCCATGATAATATTTAAATTAATTAATAAAATACATAAAACTCAAAAACTTGTCTGATTAGAATTAAAACGTTCTATGATACCATTATAAGTAAAAAAATTAACATAAAAAATTATCAATCAAATGAAATGTACGAATAATTGATATTTTGCACTAAAATTCACAAAAATTTAGAAAAAAGTTCTAAATTAAACAAAAAAAAACAACAAAGTTACCCCTTTTATAAATTCGTCCGCCGCTCGTTATTAATTTATAAATTTAACGGTCAATAATTAGACCTTTTTAAAAAAAAATTTACCTATCATTCACTACCTGCACTTAAATTTCTTTTTTAATTCTTTAATTTCTACATCAAATAAATTTAAATTATTTTTTTCATTCAAAAGAGTACTACAATGTGTTATCAAAATTTAGTGCTTATTGTTGTTTACAATTAAGTTTTGTAATTTAGCCGTAAAAATGAAAGCTTTTGTGTTATAAACTTAAAAGATGTCAATTTTTAATGATTTTGGTAAAACTGAAAAAGCACAAAATCAAGATTTACTGGAAATTAAACTAATAAATATAAACTGGACCAGACAAAAGGATTAACAATTATTGCATAATTTATAATACACTTAGTAAAGTCTTAGCAATTTTGCAAAATGTTTTTTGATACATGATAAGTTTTTAAAAGCTCAAATATTATTACAATTTACTTATTACTAAATAATTTTGCAGTGTATAATTATAGAGTAGACATTGTAGAATCAAAAAATATTTAATACAAATTTTTTCAATTCATTTTGAAAATTAATAAAAATTATTTTTTTACTTACTAGTTTAGTAGCAAGGAATTTTTTCATTATTATAATTTTTAAATATTTACATAATAAATTTTTTTTTAATTTAAATATTTTTATAATTTGATATTATACAAACTTAGAATAAATATATATACTTTTAAAATTCATTTACTCTTGAATCATTAACAAGACTGAATAACTGTAATGCCATGTTATTTTTAAATTTATTTATAATTTCATTGACTAAAATGTGTCCTTCTTTTTTTAATAATGGTATACTATTTAATGCTTCTTCATAAAATTTATTTCCTTTGTCAGATATATACAATTTGGTTGCTTCTTTTATTGACAAAATGTCAGCTCGGGCTTGTATATTTCCTGCAATACTAAACTTTTTAACGCATGACATAAGTCTTGCAAGCTCTTCAGCTACAGTGTCTACAATTTTAGACATTATTTTATAAACCAATGGAAAAGGCACTTTATACAACTCTGATCTGACTCCTATTAAATTCATTACAATTTCTTTGGCATAAGGTTTTATATCGACAGGTTCAAAATTTTTGTCCCAGTCAAAATGAAGAACATACATTGAGGGTTCAATAGTCCCAACTAAGGGATCACATTTCAATTCATTATATTGATCAAAAATTTTAGAACTTAAAGTAGTGAATAAATTTTTAGTATTGTTTACAAATTCATTTTCAATTTTAAATCCTTGAAGTTTCATTTTTTCAAATAAATCGGGTAAAACTGATTCTGCTGTGTAATGACAATTGCACATAACTGCCAATAAACGTTGTTCCAATGTAACAGTCTTAAAAGATATATTTTTGCTTACATCTGATGTGTAGATTAGTTGAGAAACAACAGTTGGCCTTTCAGAATTTTCATCAGAACTATCAAATGCGAGTTTTTTTAAGACTTGAGTAAAATTATTGAAAAATTGATGAACTAAAGTAAATATTTCTTTTTTTGTATACGGGTTTTCAGCCAAAAATACTTCCTTGGCTTCTCCACAATGAACTGAATCATGAATTAATTGCATTACATCGCAAAATTTTGAATGACATAATTTGGGTAAACTTGTTATACCGCCATATGATTCATCAATGTCAATTACCCAATTTTCTGTTTTGTAAAAAGCAGAAATACTATCACCAGCCTGTTTGAATATTGTTGAAAAACATTGTAACCTTAAGTCAAGTAAAAGAGTAGAAAAAATATCTAAGACATTTGAAGGCAAATCAATTCTAACAAAACAACTGTAGCAAGTAAGAAAATATCTCAGACAATGTGGCAACCACAGAATCACAATATCCAGTCCATTTGTCGACCAAACTCCATAGTTTTGACGTTTTTGGTTAATACCTTGTAAAGTATGTGGTAAAATAGCACTTCTCATTAAATTACAAAAAAAGTCAGTCATGCTTAAAACAATAGTTTTGTAACTTTGATGTTTTTCTATGTCAGGAGAACAATAGAGTTCTGATCCAAAATACATCTGACCAAGTTTCCATAAA